GAGTTTTTCAGGACCTGAGTTCACCACAGACGGTTTTATTAATACAACACATGATCAATAGAACAACCAGAGACGTTGGCTGCTACTCAAACAGACACTATTTCATTTTTCAATAAACTCCGTTGACAGCGTGTCAATAACGAGCGTACACGGAGACCAGTTAGCTGCTGGTTGGTGCTGCTGGATCCCAGTAATGAATCTGAGCCCAGCAGGGTCAGACGTCCCGTCGGCTGTTTACCTCCAGACGAATGATGGAGCCGGGAACAAGCTGTCCGGCCCGCTGCTGCCGTAAATCTAAAGTGCATCAGGTGTGATGGGAGTCCAGGGTTCTGGATTTACTGCCGGGTCGCCTGGAGCTGTTCTGGCTGTAAATCCAGACATGGTGGGAAATTGCTTCCTGGACAACCTGCGACTCGTTTCTGCTCCGCGTTCAGCAGCAGCAGCGATAATTTACCAGCACAGAGACGCTCAGGTCTGATTATAGCCGAATAGACGGGAGATAAACTTTAAATAAATCTAAATATTAGAAGAAATCAGGTGGCAGCTGAACAAGGCTTCATCATCTCATCAGGAAACAACCAAAGCTTCCTCCTTCCTCACCTCAAACTCACTTAAACTCCAGAACGATGACGCTGCAGTAAACCCGATAGAACACGAGTTTAAATAAACCTCAGAATAAAACCAGCTCCATGATACTTATCCTAAACTGTGTGACTCTTGAGTTTTTATTTAGAGAATGAACCACATCTGAGCTTAAAATGATGTTTCTTTAAAATCACGTTTTCGTCTCGTTTGAAAGCCGCCAAAAATTAACCGTTTGCTTGAACGAGATTGTGGAAAAAACAAAAAATTCTGTGCTGCCTGCAGCAACCAGGAAGCTTTTAGTGACTCAGGAGGATGAAACAGTCACCTGACAAATATTCTGAGAGTTTTCGGCTGCAGGCACCAGAATGCAAACAGGAACATATCTGTAGTGAGTAGAGTCTAATTTATGGCTTTCTGACTTTGTTAAACTGCACAGATGATGTTACTGAACTCTCTTCTTCTATTCATGGTTGTTCTGTTTCCACACACTTAGAGAAATTTTATTGATCCATAAGGGGGATTGTTTAATCACAGTAGCAAAAAATAAAATAAGTAATTGTATAACACTATGCAGAAATAAAGATAAAAATAAAAAACGAATATAATACAAAGATTTTTTTATTTTTTTGCAAAGTAAAGAAAGACAAGAAAATAAGTGATAATTCAAATAAAATAAAGATAAATAAAATAAAATAATTATGTACCACTGTGCAAAAATCAAGATAAATAGAAAAAAAAAACTTTAAAAAAAACCAAACAGGAAAAAAAAACTTTTTTTTTTTGCCAAGTAAAGAAAGACAAGAAATAATAATACAAATAAAATAAAGTTAAGTAAAATAAAGTAAATAATTCTGTAACACTATGCAAAAATAAAGATAAAAATTTTTAAAAAGTAAAAAAGCAAACAGGAAAAACAAAATGTAATAAAAAGTTTTTTTTTAAAATTGCCAAGTAAAGAAAGATGAGAAAAGAAATAATACAAATAAAGTAAAGTTAAATAAAATAAAATAATTAATTACATAACACTATACAAAAATAAAGATAAAAGTTTAAAAAAAAACAAACAGGAAAAAAAAGAATACAAAGCAAAGATTTAAAGAAAAAATTTTGCCAAGTAAAAAAAGAGAAGAAAATAGATAATACAAATAAAATAAAGTAAAATAAAATAAATAATTTTGTAGCACTATACAAGAATAAAGATAAAAATGAAAATAAAAAAAGAATATGATAAAAAGATTAGTTTTTTCCAAATAAAGAAAGACAAGAAAAGAAAAAATAATACAAATAAAATAAAGTTAAATAAAAATAAATACTCCTGTACCACTTGTGCATAAAGGACTGTATATCACAGTGAGAAACGAGGACGCCTGCATTGTTGTCATCGCTCCACGCGCCGCTCTGATTCCCTCGAGTCATCGTTACGGACGCCACATCGATTTCTGACGTTGCCACGGGAACCACATAATCGCCTTTTTTTTTTTTTTTGCGTATGGCGTGTATTTATAGCGCCGTCCCGTGAATTATTCATGAAGCTGCTGTTTACGTCGTGTGATCTTGAGGTCTGGTTAGCGTTGATGCCTCTGTGGGCTTTAAGCAGAGAGTCCAGGTCTTATGTAAGGCAGCCCGACGCAATCAGCTGTGGACGGAGCCGCTCGGCGCTCGGCTCGTCATACCTGATTGCTAATGAGGTTTGTGCAAACAAGAGGCTACATGTTTAGCACAGAGCCGTGTGAATAAATCAAAAGGAGCGATGCATTATTTATGACGACATTATGTAAACTAAATAAATCATGTGGAGGCGATGCAGCAGCAGAATAAAGCCGTGAATCCCCAAAAGGTTCAACAGGAGCTTCCTACAGACGTGAGCGGACGCCTCAATTCATCACCGAGGTGTCAACAAATTAACAGCTTGAACGCTTGTTTGTTAAACGATTTACTGTTGTTCTACAGATTTTCTCTGTTTTGTTAAATTATAGATAATAACTAATAAAGAAATATCACTTTGGGGCAAAATTGTAAATAACATCCACAGTAAAAATCTGTTATTTAGATTTTTTGCTGTATTTAAATTAAATGTACCACTTTTTTTGTGTGTGTTTTGCTGTTATTAGAAAGAAAGAAATATGTATGTTTTGGATTTAAAAGTCTTTTTTTTTTTTTTAAATAAATAAATAAAAAACTTATAGATTTTGGCATTAAAAAAACAACAAAAAACGGACAACTTGTAAAATCACTGAAGACGTATTAATTTACACGTTAAGCTTAAAAAAACTGATAAATCATTCTTTCATATTTGACAGTAAAATTTCACTTTTTTCTGCTGTTTTTAAATTTGATTTACAGATTTTTTCGTGTTTTAATAGAAAAAAATATGAAGGCTTAAAAAAAGTTCATAATTTCAGAAACTTATTTTACAGATTTTCTGTTTTGTTCAATTAAAGATAATAACTAATAAAAAACATCACTTTGGGGCAAAAACTGTAGATAACATCCACATTAAAAATCTGTTATATTTATATATATTTTTAACTGTATTTAAATTAAATGTACCACCTTTTTTTTTTTTTTTTTTTCTTTTAAAAAAAAAAAAAAAAAAAGTATGTTTTGAATTAAAAAAATGTTTTTTTTTTTAACTGTTAGACATTTTGGCATAAAAAACTGATGACTTGTAAAATCACTATAAAAAATATTAATTTACATGTTAAGCTTAAAAAAAGAGGCAAAACTTTATCTGTATTTTTACAAACGGCAATTTGTTCTTTTATATTTGACAGTAATATCACACTTTCTTTTTGCTGTTTTTAAATTAGATTTACAGATGCTTCACGTGCTTTAATAAAAAAAATAAAATAAAATAAATGAAGGCTTAAAAAAGGTTCATCATTCCAGAAACTGTTATTTTACAGTTTTCCCCATAAAAAAAATACATATTTCCAATGAAAATCCCTAAAATGACTTAATAAAAATTGTAGATCATATCCCTCAAACAAAAAAGCTAAAACTGCCCAAAAATCCACAAAACATATTCAGCAGTTTATCTGTTGATGTAAACTTACTTCAAGTCAGAAACTCAAAACTAACTTCCATAAAATGTAAACGCAGCATTAATGCAGCCATGACATAAATGGAATACGTATATTGAACTCAGACTGCAAACTGTTTATACATGAAACCGGTTTATTAGGATTTGTCTTCTACACTTCAGTAGCTTTCATACGAGCTGCTGCCTGTTGTCGTTTCTAACATTTAGTGTGTTTTTATGTTTTCTGCTGTCAGAGTCGGAGGTGGTTTACAGGAACCGAGACGGTCACGTCATCAAGTTCAACTTCACCCTGAACGAGACCGAAGTCATTCTGACCAACAGCACATTCGTAAGTGATTTAAAGCCTTTTTAGTGTAAAGCTATTATCATGTCAGGCTGATATTAACTTATCTGGTGCTTATTCAGTGTATTTATGATGACAGAATTTGGATCCAGTACATTTAAGCACAACATCTACAACCATTAGAGCCGACAAGTTTGTTGGGTTTTGTTTCCTCTGAGATGCTAAAACGACTAAAGCTGAAACAAATAGTTAAACCTGTGAAACCACAAACCGGCAGCAGGTTTGAAAAACATGTTGTCTTTAAAAAAAATGTAAAAAATCAGAAAAAATGACAGTTTATCAACCAAAAACTGCAACAGCAAGAAAACATTTTCAGCTTCCCACTGCTCCCTGTGCAGTTTCATCAGGAAAATTAGCCAAACCGAAGCATAACATCTTCATTTTTATTTAATCAAAATTATTTGATTCAAGTTGTCTCATTTTAAAATGGACAAAAAATAGTGTCTGCACCAGATTCTGTATAAAAAAATCAGTGCAACTGAGAAGCCGTGACTGACTCAGATGTGACCAACAGTGATGAGAAAAAAGAAAAAAAAAAGGCGACTTTTTGGTTTATTTTCAGAATAAAATCAGAGCAGCGTGGCTCAAAAACAGTAAACAGAGCAGGAAGTTGTTGGACGATACATTCAGAATGGTGAAACATGTTTGTAAAGCTTCTAATTTAACGTATTTAGACTCTAATTTTGCCGTGTTTAGGTGCTTAAAAGCATAAAATCCACAAAGAACCACTTGTGCATCCATCTGCTGCTCAGTATTGGGAACTTGTGCAACCTTTTCTGCATTTTAAAGACACAAAATGCTAAAAATCTTGTCATCTTATGTGCACAAACTTTTAAAAACATACTGGAAAACAAATATCTCTGAGGTGCAGCAAATGTGGGACGTGGCCTCCTGACGCTGAAGAAGCTGTGATTGAAACCAGAATACATCTCAGTGAGGAGGGTCTGTTTCCTCACCTCAACTCACCTGAAGCATCATTTCAGACTCTAAAACTAAAATAAACCAACATTTGTCATCATCTGCTCGTACTTCCAGGAACATGAAATGATGCTGGTACCTGCTGTTCAGTTAAATCTGATCAGAAACATTCATTATTTTTATCAAACTGAGTCCAATTTTGGCAGTTTTCTTTCTAATTACGCCGTCGTAATCCTGCTGTGAAAACCCACAAACCCTTTTTTTTTTTCCCTCCTCTTCATCTTTCAATGCATTTCACAGAACCGCCCTGTGTTGTTGTTGTGGCGGCTTGTAGTTTGGGTGGTTGCATAAGAGGATTTCATGTGGATTTGTGTCCACACGGTAAGCTTGTCAAACCATTCGAGCGAAATCAACAAAAAAAAAAAGCAGAGGTGGCCTCAGAGTTTGGAAGTTTGACCTCCTCCAAAATTGCAAATGCCACCAGCTGCAGCATCCAAAGTGAGCGCTGGCTGCTTTTAAAGGACGCTTTTCACATTACTGCACCAAAATATAAAGCGAATATAAAAAGTAAGAAGCACCCAAACAGACCTGCTGCGGTTCCCTCGTGGTTTTGTGGCCTTTTGCTGCCACGTTAGCTTTTATCGGCCGCATTTATTTTGTCGCTGCGTGGAAGCTGGAAATGTTGGGGAAAGGAAAATATGAATATTATTAATGTTTGACTCATCATTGTTTGCTCTTTTTGCAGTTTGCTGCTGAATAATCCTGACAGTTGTGTGCAGATGCTTTTATAGAAAGTTAGCTTTCCAGTTTGTTAGGGTTGAGATGTTGACTTAAATGCTAATTACAAGAGGTAGCTGGTGATGCTGATAGGAGGTAACACAGTAATTACTCCTGAAATACAACATTTTAAACGCTAACATGCTTAAAACTTGGTAAGTGCTACACCAGCTAATCATTCATGCTAGCATGCTAATCTTAGCATATATCTCAGCTTGACTTGTGTTTTTTCATGTCTTTTTTTTTCCTGTTCAGATGGTATCTATCTTTTGTCAATGTGTTATTTTACTTCCTTGCGATAGTTTTTAGAAATATAGAAATGCATCTTCAGCTTCTTTATATAAATGTCTGCGGCCTACAGCTTAGCTAACAAGGTTTGCATCGTTATGCTGCTTGTAATGCTAGTTAAGTTTATCAGGCTACTCATTTTGCTAGCTAACATGACACTGCTTATAATGCAAGCTAACTTTAATGGGCTGATTATAATGCAAACAAGCTTTATTAGGCTGCTTGTAATGCTAGCTAACATTATTAGGTTATTTATAATGCTAGCTAGCATTATTGGGCAAGTTATGATGCTAGCTATCATGCTACTGATATTTCTTGCTAACTTGGCGCTGCTTAAAAAATACCTAAAGTCCTAGCTTTCAGCTTATCATTTATTTACATTATTGCGCATAATGCTAACTAACTTTATAAGGCTTGCTAACATTATTACGCACTTATAATGCTAATTGTCTAACAAGCTACTTTTATCACAAGCTTACATGACACGACTTATAATGCCAGCTAACATTGCTAGCCTGCTCTTAATGCTAACTGCTATTATTAGGCTTCTTGTAATCCTAGTTCACGTTATTTGGCTTTTTATAGTTGTATTATTAATGCTACTAATAATGCTAGCTGCTATTATTAGGCTTCTTGTAATCCTGGTTTATATTGTTCAGCTTCAATAATCATATTATTTAGCTTCTCATGATGCTAGCTTATGCTACTAGTAATGCTAGCTCACAATATTTTTCTGCGCATAACGGTAGCTAACAGTATCAGGCTACTTACAATGCTTGCTAACATAATTTGGATGTTTATTTTTTTAAAATTAGCCCAGTAATATTAGCTGCATTGTATATTTCATGCTGTAGTTTTTTCTTTACTTGCATATGTGCATATTTATATGTTATACCAACTATAAATTGCTATATAATTATATTTTCCTACAGTTTGATTCCCATAACTGACAACTTATGTACTCTGAGTTTGTTTTGTTTGTGGCTTATTTGTGTGCAATATCTGTCAATTTGAGATAAACTAATAAAAGCTAAAAGAATCTCTGATGGTTCATCTGTGTTATTTCTTTCTTGTTAGGTGGCTTTCAAGGTGGCAAAGTACTCGCTGTCTGCAGATCTGAAGTACGCGCTGTTCGCGTACGACGTCAAGCCGGTGAGTTACCGACTGAAACGCATAAATCAGAATCACATAAGAGACACACGGCGTTTTTTTTTTGATGTGGATCTTCACAACCACGCAGGCTGTGATTGGAGTTCATCCTCAGCCTTTGCGTTATCTCCTGGCAGCCTGGCATTTACACTGTGTCGTCCTCACTCATCCACATGGACACACAAACACACATGAACCGTGGCCTCACATTCAGATCTGGGATGTTTTGTTTTTTTTATCCTGCGACGAGCACTTTGCTGCTTTTTCTATCTTAAAAGCAGCCAAAATTGGAACCGACATGAATTAAAAAGATTGACTTTGATGCTTTGGATGATTTAAAGTCGGACAAACGGTTTCTCTCTGATAACAAACCTGCTCTGGATTGGTTTGCTGTGGTTCTGCTGTTCTTTACGGCCTAAATTCAACCATCCTGTGCGTTTTCACTCCTCTGTTCTGTGTGTTTTTTTTCTTTTTCTTTTTGTCAGTCATCCACTTGCGAGGCTTTCCATTGATTTTTAGATTTGTTTGCAAACAGACGGATCCCGGCTCCGGCTTAGAAACGCTGCAGCAGCTGATAAAAACCCAAAGGAGGACGTCTGTGTGTCCTGCAGTTTGTTCTGCGGTGATTGATGGGTCGAAACCGCCTCTCGCAGAAAATACCTTCTGCATGTCTGGAAGAATGGATTTCTGTTTTCTGTACATTTCCCTCCACTTCTCTGCGGCTTAATTGATTGAGCTCTGGTTTTATTTGTTGCCATGGTGATGTGACATCCCCCCCCCCCCTTCAAAGTAGTGGTAACGCCACTTATTGGGATTTTCTTTTTAGTCGCTCTCGATTGAGTTTCTCGCAGGACGCACAAAGCGCAGCTCAATAAGTCGAGTGTTTCCAGAAGCCTTCATATATAACCGACAAGCAGAGGATGTGCAGCAAATCTGATTTCCTCGTGGAGCCATACAGATTATATTTATGTATATATGATATGCGCCTGCCAGCCGGGAATACAGTGAGCTTTCTTTCGAGCCTATTTCACACAACATTTAAGTGCAGGAAGCAAGAAACATGAGATGGATCAGAGGAGCCTTCAATTTAATCTCCTCCCTCTTTTTCACATTTTGAAATTCCCACTTTATAATTGAGAGGTGTTGAGGCGGCGCGCCGACGTGTCCGGCTGCTTATTCACAGCATACGTGCAGCATAAGGAAATTAGCATTATTCATTAGCTCCCCGGTTGGCTGGAGGTGGACCTGGACCTGGAGCTAGTCGGAGGAGGTGGTCGTCATGAATATGCAGACATTATGTAAATAGCTTCTAAAAGTGGCTGCTGGAGGGCGCAGGGGGAGCGGAGCTGGAAGAAAAGGCGGATTTAGATAAATCTAAAGCACTTCTGGTGAATCAGATTTCACAGATGTGTTTAAAAAGAGAATCGAGATTCGCAAAACTGAGTCATGAAAGGCTGATTTATTGAAGAGGAGGTGGGTGGCGCTCTAGTTCACGACCGTTCTGGTGCGTTTACTGTAGTGACTGATGCTGAAGGTCCGGTTACTTCTGATCTGATGAACCTGTGCAGCTGTTTTTGTTGGATATTAGGCTGCACAAAAAATAAAACATTACAATTAATAATTGAGGTTGAAAAAGCTGAACGTATAGATAAATCTGACATTATTTCACTCTTCAAATTAATGTTTTGTGTCTCAGTAACTGATGGAGACCAGAAGCTTCTCCGTGCACAGCTGCCCAGTTAGCCACGCTATCAGTTAATCTAATTTCACTGATTAGTCGATGAATCTAAGTGATTCATTTTCAACCAGAAAAGTAAAATGACCATTTCTTTGAGTCTGTTTTTATTTTGTCAGTTTGCCATCATATAATCTAAGTATTGATATAGTCCAGTGCAAAACTGTAGAGTTAAAATGCAACAAGAAACCCAAATTAAAAAATAAAATATGGCAGAAAAATGAAATATTCAACATTACATTGAAATATTGGACATGAAAAATTTAATTTCAATGTGCAATATTGGGTTTTCTTCCACATTTTACACATTGAAATTTAATTTTTTACACACACTTTGTCAATGTTTTGTGCAATATTTCATTTTTCTGGTGCAATATTTCCATTTGCAAACTCCAAGACGTGCAGTTCATCCAATTAGCATCATTCGCATCAGAATAAGTCTCAATATAAGGCAGATTTTCAACATTTATACTTAAAACTTCAGTCGAAATGTGATCTAAGAACTAATTCTGCACATGTTTACTTATTATAAATACTATAATTGATCAGCTGTCATGAGCATAAGCTGACATTTGACTAAAAATACTGTGACAGCACCGTGTGTTTTACATGAACATCACTGCTCTGTGCATCAAACTTTCCCCGACTTTACCCGTGACAAAGTTCTGGTTGTTTTCTGTACTCGGAGAGGACGACATTTCCACAAGGTATCAGTTTGTCGATTGATGTTTGCACAGCGTGATGGGTTTTACTGTCTCGTTGCAGATGTACAGATATTCCTACACGGCGTCTTACATCGTCTACAACATCTACACCAGGTGAGCCGCTGTGGATTTTCATCGCTGTTTGCTCTCTGCATGGCGGCGTTCAGAAACAGATGGTGGTTGTTTTCTAAATATATGTATTTCCATGTGTGTGTGTTATCAGGGAGGTTTGGGAGCTAAACCCTCCCGAGGTTCAGAACGCCGTCCTCCAGCATGCATCCTGGGGAAGACAAGGACAGCAGCTGGTGAGGCCGACTGTGTTTGTTTCTGATCCGGTCTCTCATTTTCTTTCCATCTCTTTTTATAAATTCCTGCTGCTCGTGGCTCCGGAGGGCTCTGCGCCGATGATGTGATTGTTTTTAATGCAGTGTATAGGCTCTGTTTACGTCCAGGCTGTGCCGTCTGCCCGGTTTTCTCTGTTTAATTCCACATTTTTACATTATATTACTCTCAGGTTGCTTCCTCAGCCTTATTAGTCGAGCCCAGAAAGCAGACTTGACACAGGAGGTGCTTTTCTTAATAATTTCCCGACTTTGCTTTTGCACAAAGGAGTCTCGGGTGTTGTTTTCATTTTACCGCCTGTGTAAATTCGGCACTATAAGATGCAGGCAAATAAACAAGAATATGCCGCCTGATATTAGCCGAAAAGTAGCATTAGAAGGTGTCACGACTTGCCAGCTTGTAGCAGAACGCCTCAGGTAACAAACAAACATACCGTTCGTGACTGGAGGGTAAACACGTTCAGTTTATTCTCAATATTTTTAATTGAAAACCAGACAAACTGTTTTTTTTTTTGTTGTATTCGGTAGTTTGCAAAAATGTAGAAAAATGTTCTTGTTACGATGCTAAACAGAATCTAAAATGCTTATTTCCAGCTCAGTATTGTTATTAAAGATATTTCTGCATGATTAACAGCTCACTTTATTCTGATTGGTCAGCTTCGGGAAGCCTCCACACAGCGCTTGTGAGCTTCACTGGTTGAATTTTGTGTCTGGGGCAGATGATACGTATACGTTAAGTAACTACAAATCAACAGTAGCTTCTATAGACATGTGATTTCACCCTTTCGTAGCTTTAATTTTGTGCAAGGAGCAGCTTGTTTCACATATAAACAAACTGCAGAAAGAGACTTTGAGGCGACCCACAAAAGATATGATTTATTTATTATCAAATCTACGAGCAGATCCAGAGAACGTGATAGTAGATAGACTGGAAAAGTGCCTGGATTGAATTCGGTGTGAAGAATGGGGATTTGTTTTGTGCGGATATTGACTTGCGGAGTTCCCCAAGGCTCGATCCTCGGGCCTCTTTTGTTCAGCCTAAGTGAACTCAGATTATACAAACAACAAGCTGAGCAGGAGAATTTAACAGATCAGTAATTAGTGTGTCAAAACTTTCTCCAGTTAAACAAAGATTAAACTAAATAGTTGTATTTAGAACCAAAGAAAGCCATTAAAAGTTGGCACTAAGCTTCAGTTTTCCCCACCCTGATGAAGACCTTGTGTTAAATCAGAACAGACTCCTCCTAATACAGGACGCCTTATTTATTTGATGTTCGCAGCATTTATATGACGCGTATACAAGATTTGTATGTGCTGCGGGTAATGAAATTGGCTGCTGTGCATCTAAAGTATTGAGAGGAGAGCTGTGGAAGCTGCAGGACAGAAGTGGATTGAGGTGGATGTTGGTGAAGCTGCAGGATCCTGTTTGTATTTGCAAATTCAAATATTAAAACACTGATGGAAGAGACAGAGCAAACACGGCGTGGAGGGCTGACGCGGGAGCTTTAATGGAAAGAAAAAACAAAAATCCCATCAGAGAGGAAATCAAAAAGAAAAACAAATCAGGTGGACAAATAAATAAAAAAGCAGCTCGACAGCAGAGAGGAGAGAAACAGCAGATATGGGCCAAAACCAATGAAGTCAATTTGCATGTTTTGGTCCCGTGCTTCTCTTCAGATCTACATCTTCGAGAACAACATCTACTACCAGTCGGACGTGAAGAGCAACTCTCTGAGGATCACCTCCTCTGGGATGGAGGGAGTCGTCTTCAACGGACTCACCGACTGGTTGTACGAAGGTGAGTCGTGGAGAGCGTCGAGTCTGCTTTGTCTTTATTTGGAGTTTTTAATAACTGGACGGCCAGTTTTACACTCAAATGAAACATGGACGGATGGTGGAGTTGTGGAGACATTCATGGTCCTCTGAGGATGAACCCGACTGAATTATAGCAACATCAGAGTTTGTTTAACACGTCGGTTCATGGCCCAGTACCTGCAGAACCAATGGTCCTGCCATGTGCTGTCACTGCATCCTAAATCATCAGATTCTTAGAACGATTTCTTCTGAATATGCTGTGATTTTTGAACTTTAATAGCATGAAATATGGAAAGTTTTGCTCCAAGATAATAAAAATTGCCCGTCGAGCCACTTTTATCATGATTGTTTTGCATTTTGACGTGTGAGGCTGTTTGAATGATGATACCTCGGGAACTGTCTGGAAGAAAAACATGCAAAAATTCAAACCAGCAAACATCAGCGTCATATTTTAGGATTGTTTTGTTTGTTCTTTTCACTTGGTGATCTAATTTTTAAGATATTAGCATAGTTCAATACATTTTTAACGCCTTTAAAATCTGATTCTGGCAACAGAAAGCATCTATGAACCTTCTAAATTTAGTTAAAACATTGAGCTACATAGAATAAAGGGTTATTTAGATTCCATTTTAGATGCATTTACCTGATGTATGTCGGCGACCATATTACCGATATTCGGGTTTTTTCCCGTATATCAGTGTCGGTCCGATGAGCAAATTCAGCCGATGTGAAAACCCGATGATTATCTAACATCAGCGCCTTCGTCTCTACGTTTGATGTTGCTAATATTTCACAGATGTTTTCACTTAAATGCTCCTGGACTTGAACGTTAAATATCTTGAAATATGTTTAAATATGTTTTACTTTTGTTACGTAATGAAGAAGACGATGTGGTCTAATTTAAACTTCTTTTGAATAGTTTCCACGTTCTCACACTCATTTTTCGATGTGAACAAAAATTGAATATCGACGTCGGTGATATCGGTTATCTGCGATATCAGGAATCTTAATATCGGTATCGGCCAGAAATGTTAATATCGTGCATCACTACTTTCTAAGTGTTTTTTTTTTATAGCTAGCTTTTGGAAATAATCAAAAACTCCAAAGCTGTTTATTTTTGCATTTGAGCATCACTTTCTCCCACTTTTTTGGATTCAAATCCAAGAATCTGTGTTCATTATGAATGTGGGCTCAGAAGGAAAAGTTCGGCTCCATTTTTAGAAACTCGTGTGAATTTCGATCTTGGTTTTATTACTTCTGTGTCGTGTGAGTTTACAGCAGGAAGCCACGGCTTGTTAAGAGATTACATGCTGATTATGATGGTTTTTGGGCTTTGAGTGTGATTATTTTTGTTTTCTGGGTTTAGTATTTATCCATCTGAATTACGATCCTGGCAGCAGGTTGAGGACTTTGCGTTAATGAATATTGAACCCTGTAGTGATGATTTAATCTGCGAGTTGAAGGAAACCAAACGAGCCGACTGCATAGTTTTGAGTTTTAAGTGGATAATATGTGCAGTTTTTATACAGCAGGAGAACTTTTAAGTGGCTAATTCATTAGATATGTAGGAGGATGGAGGGTTGGACTGAATCTGCAACACGAGAGCTGTGTTTTTTCTGCCCTTCCCGGCTAATTAAAGCAAACCGAACACATGCAGCAGTCATCTGTGACACTGACACATTTGCGGTTTGCATTGAAGCTGCACTTGCAAATTGCCTCACTGACCTCTTTCCGCTCGTCTCTCGGTGATAACATGCAAATTCAAGCAGCAGCGAGGTAGAAAAACTACTTTTTCCACGTGTCTGTCAATATCTTAATGACGGTAAAAGGTGGAAAAGTCCAGGTGGGGAAAGTTTTAGTGATTTTCAGGCGAACGCTGCGTGATCTTTGGTGGACGCTACAGTTTCAGGTTTCAGAGAGAATCCTCTGGTTTTTCAAAGATTTGTCTTTGGTATTAAAAATGCAGCAGAGCAGACTAGACAAACTCGGCAGACTGGCGATGGAAAATCAACAACAAGCCTCGGCAATCCATTAAGTCGCCGTGTAAACAAATTGAGTAATGTGCTGACGGTGTTTGCAGTTTGCACAGCGAGCAGTCTGGGAACGTTAGAGTCGCTGCACAGAGCTGCATATTTACACTTTACTTTGTACGGTAACCTTTTTCTGACAGTTAAAGAGCAGAACAAGTTTCAGCAATAATATCAGCAACCACCAGCAGCTTATTTTCCATCAGATTGTTTTCTGCTTTTGATTTTTTTGGCTCATTTTTGAGCTGGAAAAGTGGAACAAAGTGATTAAATATGTAAAATCTTGGTGTCATTGAAAATATCTGCACAAAAGTTCCCACAGCTGATAGAAAGGACCTCCTGTAGTGTTGGAGGATTTAGAATTAAGTGATTTTAATGACTTGTCGTGATTATTACGTTTTAATTTAAGTTGTTTTGCGGCCGACGAGCAGATGCTTAGTTCAAGGACTGTCAGAAATCTAAATCTTAAAGGAGATTGTTTTAAAGATGCCTTTCAGACCTGCCGCTGGGTTTTTGTGTTCACAATAATCTCCTCAGAATCGATAAATGGAGACACTAAAAGCTAAATATTAAGGAAAAGTAGCTGCTGCAGATGAGTCTTTAGAATGAAGAAAAATACTCGAGACGGACGGAGGGAGGTGTTTAAAGATGCTAATATTTCAATGAAGGTCAGGGGTGCCCAATCCTGGTCCTTGAGAGCCCCTATCCTGCATGTTTTAGATGTTTCCCTTCTTCCAACACACCTGATTCAAATGATCAGCTCATCATCAAGCTCTGCAGAAGCATGATAACGATCCTGATCATTTGAATCAGGTGTGTTGGAAGAAGGGAAATATCTAAAACATGCTGGATAGGGGCTCTCGAGGACCAGGATTGGAGACCCCTGATGAAGGTCATTTGCTTTAAAAATATCAAGAATCTGGGAAATAAAAACTGCACATTCAGTGTTCCTGTGTCGTGATATTTGTTGCGGTGAGAAATAACATCGATGGGTTCGAGTTCCCAGCTGTGAACACAAAAGACCGTAAACTTTTGAGGGAGTTTAGCATCAAAAAATCGTCACTCCGTGTTGTTTTGCCTAAAAATGCCAAGAGAATGAACTGAACTTTACTTAAAAAGTACGCTTTAGAATATTTAAGAGACAACATTTTGGACGGATATTAATTTGGGTTTTAATTTCTGTATTAAATTAAACACATCTTTTGGGGGAAAATGTGTAAAATGAGCAACCAGTGGAAGCATTTTTCCCTTTAAATTGTCTGTTTATCATGTTTTTGGCTGTTAAAGTGTAATAATATCAAAGAAGCAGTTGACAGCTACCAACAAAAAGCACATTCCTTCTAATAAATCTGATAAAATGAGCATCGCATGTCATTAGAACGTCGGAGGTTTAGTCAGAATAAGAAGAAAAAAGCAAAAACAAGCACAAATAGAAAACTGTTCCTGTTTGTCCCGTCAGAGGAGATCCTGCACTCGCACTTGGCCCACTGGTGGTCGCCGGACGGAGAGCGGCTGGCCTTCCTCACCATCAACGACTCCCTGGTTCCCAACATGGCTCTGCCCCAGTTCACCGGCAGCACCTACCCCCGAGGCCTGCAGTACCCCTACCCCATGGTGAGGCCGCCGTCTGGCAAAATTTTCTTGGCACCGCTTTATGAAATCAACTAGCTGGTGAGAGAGCAGTAGCTAAATCTACGTCACCCACCTTGTGTCTGAAGAATGACTGAATTTTGATGCGTCTTCTGTTTGTTGAGTCACAAACAGCTGAAACTAAAAATAACGGAGGAAGAACATCAATTAGCCTCGCTTAGCAGAGCTGCAATATCTGCTGGTGAAATTCATTTTATTTCATTAACCCTCCAAACACAGTCTCTGGACTTTTTCTTTTATTTTTTTGCTCCTGTTGCATTTTTTTTTTTTTTTGCAAGTCCTGCAGCTGTGTGGAAACAGAACAACACTGAAGAAGGAAAGAGACGCAGAAATGTCCTCGGTTACATTTCCATACATCATCATTTATCTGGTTATTTATTTTACAAAAACTAAAAAAAAAATGAAAACTGAAAACAAAATGCACAACATATTTTAAACCAAACTAATATTTACTCGGAGGCTCAAAACTCCCAGAATTTCAGTCACAGATGATTGATTTTGACCTTGTTGCAGCAGCTACAACCAAAACCCAACAGCATTATTCATTATAGAGGTTAACCTGACACTGTTTTTAGCTTTGTTTTTATTTTTATTTACTTATTTTATTATGATATTGTATTTTAATTCAATGCTCTTTAAGAAAACTACATCTGAATAGTATAAAAATAACTTTAAGGACCTTTATTGTCTCGACGTTTTGCAATTTTTATTCGACCATTACTTAAACAAAATGTCACGTATGATTGATTAAGTCAAACCCAGATTCATAAAGACAATTGAAAAATACATAAAACTGACATATTTCGCTCTGGTGCAGCATCAGCACATTCAAACCTGTGCCTTATGGATGTTTTATACATTTACAAACTCTGTACATTATTAATTTTTCTGCATATTTAAGATTCTGTGCAGTATTTCTTATATCAGTACTTCTACTCCTGGTCATTGTTTTTCATTACATAGGTGTTTATCTTTATTATTTACTGTGTTTTTTGCACCGTCCGGTTTGCTGCTGCAGCAGATTTCCCCGCTGTGGGATTAATAAAGGCTTATCTTATCTTAAATATGTGTCTCCTCCCGTCAGGCGGGTGAGACGAACCCCACGGTGAAGCTGTCGGTGGTCAACCTGTTCGGTGGGACTCACACTCAGGAGCTGCAGCCTCCCGATCAGCTCGGACTCAGGTGAAGAAAAATGCAATAAAATAAATAAACAAAAGGCCCAAAACTCCTGATGTGACCGTCCCGTCTGCGCCTCCTCTGCAGGGATTTCTACATCACCATGGTGACGTGGGTCAGCAACACTCACCTGGCCGTCAGGTGGGTCAGCCGACCTCAAGACGCTTCGCTGCTGACGCTGTGCGACGCCACCATCGGAGTCTGTCTGCAGGTGGTGGAGTGGATTTAATTTGCTTGTTATTTCTTCACTGTGGATGTAGTTTCTTCATCGAAACGCAGCTGAAACGAGTCATGCAGAGGAACTTTGGTCACTTTTTTGAGTGCATTTTTTAAAACTTTGTTCCCCCTGTAGGTGTTTCTATTATTTTGTCCACCCTGTTTCTATCAACAGAAACATCTCACTTGTATTATGCAGTAGTTAAACCAAAGAAATCACTCGTACCGTTACATATGAAGGCATAAATGACTGAAGTTATTTACGATTTAACGTCTTGTTCTGCAAAAATGAGCAAAAAACATTTTATTATTACGCATTTTATTTGTGAAAACGGGACACTGAGAGGTTTTAATTTACAGAAAGTGCATTTATCTGTACATTAAAAGCAGATTTATATTAATCCAAAGCAACAGCAACACTTATCAGCTTCTAATTTCACATATTGGTAGCTCAGAAGTCGCTCATTTATTTGAGGTTAAGAATGTCAGTCAGCAGCACAAATGTACAGACGTAAAACAATTTGAATAAGGTTTACATAAAGATTAATAGTGTTACAGCTTCTTCATCTTCCTGTAAACCTTTTGTTAAAGGCTTAATACAGACAGAAAACACTAATTTTGCAGTGATTTGTGTCATAAAACCTTAGTTTAGCTCAATAAGCAGCTTGTTTTACACGTAAACAAAGAGGTTGATGGTATTTAAATTCATTTTCTGTCTTCATGCCTGGCGTAAAGGTGTAAAATGTTTTATTCTGAGCAAAATACATGCAGCAGCTCAAACAATTAGCTCTCCAGCAGCAAATTACAACCAACCTGATCCTTGACACTTACAAATCTATGGATGCAGGTATCAGAATAAAGCAAAATAATAGAGAACTGCATATTTTCATTCAGTTTAAGTCAAACCTGACAAAATCAGACACCCGTACCTTTTGTACAACAAGATACGATAAAGTAGAATTTAAACCACTCAGTGTGTTTGTTTCTTTTATGCATCTGAATGACTTCCACAATACATATAATGATGCTAACAGTCGGTTTTCACTTCCTGTCCTTCCATTTAGAGACACGAGGACTCTTCAGACACGTGGCTGCCAAGACAGGTAAACCTGAATAATGTTGTCAGCAACCTCAAAACCCACCAGCAGCTTGGAAAGACGGGTTACTTTTGTTTTTAAATCATGGAAATGATTATCAGAAACGATAAAAACAAACGTATTATATCTGACGTTCTGTCGGGAAAATGAACCAATTCTTAGGTTAAATCTCAATAATTCATGAATATCCCTTTAGTCTTTTTAAAAAATATACAGCATTTGCGCTAAACAGATGCCGTAAAGTGTTTTCAGAAACTGCATCAATCAAATAAATGCAGCATGATTAAAAAATAGTGAACAGAGGAGCAAGTTGTTAGAGGTACATTCAGCACAGTGAAACATCCATGTGGAAAAAACTTGTGGCTTCACATACTTTAGATATGCCAGTATTTACATTTCTACAACCTCTACAAACTTTTCTCTCTACTCTACTCATCAGCTATAGAAAGATGTTTCACCGTGCTGGATGCATCGTCCAACAACTTGCTCCTCTGTGTGCCTTATTTAAGCTGCATTTATTTCTCTGTTTCTGTTCTGTGAAATCACTGGAAGCTATGAATTTTTGTCGTGTGACTGTTGGTCACAGCCGAGTCGGTCGTGGCTTCACGGTTGCAGCAAGAAGCTCAGAATTTTTTGTTTTTCACAGAATCTGATTGGAACAAACGGTTTATTTCAGGGGGATTTTTATGTCGGATAAGTGATTTTAATGAAATTTCGCAATTCTGAGCTGAGATTTGGTTCAATTTTCCGACAGAAAAACACGCAATTTGTTCCAGAACTGTTTTTTTTTTAGCTTCTGGCTGATAAGTGGTGTGATATTAGTGATTTTTCTTAACCTGCCTTTCAAACCCACCGGATGGTTTTGGGGTTTCATTAGCACGGTTCCTTCTCTCAAATCAAAGCTGAGACTTCACCGTCGTATCGTCGACATGCTCGTGGTCGGGACTGTATGTTCTGGCAGAACGCAGCAGAACCCTGTGAAGTCTCAAGTTTCTCTCCGCAGAGACAAGAGCCGCTGTTCTCCAAGGACAGGAGCAGGTTCTTCCTCGCGCTGCCGGTGAAACAAGGCGGTCAGGGAGATTTCCATCACATCACCATGTTCACCAAGAAGGTGAGGAAATATCTAATAAGTCTCTTAGCCGAGACTGGATTTATTTCTCTGAGGGAAACGCGGTGATTTTATCATTACGAGCGCTGGGCAGCGACTTTAATCCCTTCCAGAGCGTTGCCGCTCTCACCTGCTGCTTCTCTACAAATTTAAAGCTCCTCCTGTCACTTAAATTAAATCCCTTTTGGGATTTTAGCCCTGAATTTATAGACCTAATCTATTATTTAAGCATTTTGCAGTTTTTCTTACTAACAAACTTGGTTTTTATTTTAATTTCTGTAGTTTTTTTGTAATATTTTATCTAATTTTTCATCATATTCTGTTTTATTTGTAACAGTGGAAAGTGGAAAAATAAAAACCAGTAGAATCAGAAGTTAGCTTGACAAAAATCAAATCTGTTTTTACATTGAAATAAAAATATTTTTTGTAATGTCAGCATGAAGGAATGTTTTCAATCCAATATATGAGCTATCGAATGAGGAGTACGTGCTTTTACTCTCCTTTGAATCCTGTTTTATTCACATTTTTGCAAATAAGAACCCTTAAAAGTAGCCGAATGAGCAGTTCCTCTGTGTCACATACCCCAGGATGTACAGACTGCTGTCTCTGATTCTTGGTCGAGTTCTGCTGTGAATCAACGTCCATCTTTCCTCATTTCTCGCTGGTGTTTCCGTTTTCTCTCTCAGCTACGAAGCAACCAGGATGAAGTTCGCCACTTAACGTCGGGGGACTGGGAGGTGACAAAAATCATTGGTTACGATGAAAACAACCAGACCGTGTAAGTTTCAGCTGAAGTTTTAGATCTTGCACATTAAAGTTTGGCCTTGTGGCTGCAAAGAAACGTGTGCTTGAAGTAGCAGAAGTTTTACTAGAATATATTATGCAGTGTTTAAAATCTGTTGAATGAGGCGAGTCTGTGTTTTTACTTGGACATGAAAGAGTCTTTTCTGCAAATTCTTTTGAAAGAAGCCAAATTAAATTGACCACGGTTTAATCTTAACAAGCAGTAAAAAGGGGAGAACTTCTGAGGATGATTTCTATAGCTGCTGTATACATTCATACATATGCAAATCACACACACGTGTCTCTCACTTCCTTCCTTTGATTGTGTCTGTTTATCCGTTTCGAGTCGAGCTTCTGCCCTCCAGCAAACACACCAGCTGCCCAGACAGACCGATTCGTCGACGCCTTAGAGGAAGACGTGCAGACGCCTCTCACGGCTGAAAGATACTCCTCAGAAAATGAATAATTTAACACGGACTGCGACTTGTTATTGCCAGTGTGTGATTATGATACTCCCCCAAAAAATACACCAAGAAAACACTCGCTCAGATGCCGAGCAGAGGACGAGACGTCGCGTTTTCCTTTTAAGAGCGCAGATAATAATAATGATAAAAAAACGCTCTGTTCAGCAGAAAGATAAACATGTGTTGTTCAGCTTGCTTGGTGAGCTGCAGGCCTCGTGGCGGTACAAATGTGTGTTTACGGCCGAGCGGCCACAGAACACGCGGTGACGAGTGCAGCATAATGGATCTGTGACCTTGTCCTACTTCTGCTGCTCTGCTTCCTCCACAGATACTTTCTGAGCACCGAGGTCGCTGCAGCACAAAGACATCTGTACAGGTGAAACACAACGTGCATGAAAAGTCAACGTGCGCTCGGTCATATTTACACGTCGTATATGTTATGTTTGGTGTCTTTCCTTCGGCAGCGTATCGACGCTCGGCTTGTTTCCACGGCGATGCCTCACCTGTGGACTGAGGGAGGACTGCACCTTCTTCGACGCCGACGTCAGCCCCGACGCACAGCACGCCATCCTGCACTGTCGAGGTCGGAGAGATTCTTCTAAAATGAGCGTCTCTGACCCTCTGAACCCCAGAACTAGTCGGCAGGTTTTAAATTTAGGTTATCTTTACAAGAAAAAATCCCCTCAAGGACACAATTTATCAGCTAGAAACTGTGAAAACAGGAAGAATCTTTGGATTTTCAACTTTTTAATTGTTTGAATTAAGCATAAACGTAAACAAATCTAAGTGTAAATCACTTTATTCTGCAGGTGTCATTGAAAAATTGGCCAAAAATATTATACATACATCTATTTTCAAAGGGTTTTTTTTTAATTACAGGTAATATGGAGTAAAATCACAGAAAAAAAAAATTTAATTTACATGTTGACTGTAAAAAAAACAAACATCTGCATCGATTGTTTGTTCTTGAACTCAAATTTAGACTATTTTGCTACATTTAAATCAGCAAAAAATCAAATTACTTTACAGATATTTGCCATTATTTGAAAGAAAAATTATATAATTACAGTTATATTTTATATTAAGGGTTGAAAAATGGTGAATCATTTCTTTATTTTCACTTTTTTTTGCAGTGTGCTTTACGAGCCTGATCCAAACTGTCATGCTCTTGTCTTTGCATCAAAAGTGTGTTCGGTGAAGGTTGTGCCGCTTTCAGCAGCTCCATAAGATGCTTGATTAATCCTAAAAATGGCAAAACTGTGGTTAATTACAATCACAGCAACCCAGTACTTTAGCCCGCAGAGATAAATATCAGCAGGATGTTTGTTAACGAGGGGAGGTGATGCGAGACTTGATTATTCAGTCTGTTACACGAGACGAGAAATCAAAGAAGCACAAAGAGCACATAGAGATGTCAGACAAAACGAGCTGAGATTTATTGGAAAGGAGTCGAGTAGAGATGAATAAATAGTCCCCGATGTGTGAAGCATAAAACTAAAATCTGCTTCTGTGTTTAGTTTTTGGATAATCGCTTTAAAATCGGCCCCCAATTTAAAAAAAAAAAAAAAAAGCCTCCAAATCTGTCGACACACACTCACAGCAGAATGAAACTCAATCAGCAGCGTGTTTTACATTCATGTTTCATCGTCTTTCACCGCAGGTCCCGGGGTTCCAGCTGTGCTGCTTCTAAGTTTCGACAACGTGGACTGTAAGTCGACTTTATTCCGCCTGACGTGAAGCTATTTGTGTGTCTGTTCTGGAATAGTTCTCAGCAATTAAGCGTCATCATGTCACTTGTGTGGAAACACGAGCAGCTGTTTCATCTGATGCGGCACCAGACTGCGCCGGTAATTTGCACGTGTAACGATGTTGAATATGTTTCGCTTCGCGTTTCAAATGGGCGTGTTTCATGTCTTCTTTGTCATTAGTCGTCAGTGTTGCTGTGCAGGTCTGATGTTTATTTAAAAATGTGCAGGAAAAGGTGTGAAACTGCTGATTTGTGAAGTCGTTCATCTACACGGTGATGCAGCAGGGACGTGAAAAGACGCAGAGCAGTCACGAAAAGATGCGAAAACAATCACAAGTAGATGCAAAACAACCATGAAAGGATGCAAGTCACTGACAAAAGATGCAATACAACCACAGAAAGACGATGTAAAACAGTCACAAGTAGATGCAAAACAACCGTAAAGTGACACAAAAGGATCATGAAAGATG